TTTATGCCAAGGTACCATTCCAAATCCAGGATTAAGGTTACCGCATATACTTTTATCACAGCACGGTTTAAGAGTTTCGGTGAACCTTATTTTACAGCGACAGAAATTGTTATATAAATAGCGGAAAACACCAACCGGCACGCAATTTTCACGTATCAGACGATGCTGGCTAACAGAGAGTCGGAAATCATTCAATTCCACTTCGTAAATTTTGTCCAAATTCATAGTATTTAGCATTGTCTTAAAGTATTCCATGCCTTGAACTCTACCCAGTTTGACATTTTTATTTGGACTTTCGTATGATTCGGGAAATCTGGTGGCGACAACTTTAAGTTTTTTCTTCTCTTGTACGTGGTAGTGATACTCAGCCGCTGTGAATTTTTTGCGGTATAATTTCCCTGGAACTAACAGAGGACTGTAGAGGATTATCAAAACTTTTATAACAATTGTGAATATCATGAGGATATTCATCCAAACTCCTCGTACAATATCCTTACATATTAATACCCCATCTGGATCATAATGGCAGCAGTTATACACAAAAGCAGCATTACCATTATCATCGCGAACATACATGTTGCAGACGTGCTCCGCAGTTCCGAGAGCCTTGGTTGGCTTGGGTTGTGTTCGGTCGATTTCTTTGAAATCATACAGAAGCGTTTCTCTTATTAGAGCCGTTGCATCCTGTACCGATAAAGCACCAATGCAACCGTCTGGTTCGTCATACATAGCCACTTCCATTCTCTCAACTCCTATCCTCATAGCACCAATAGACAACACCTCATAGTTTTCATTCAGCATCAACAGACTTCGAGCTTGACTATTCATCGTCCTTACCCAGTGACTCCACTTAAAATTCGAGCCACCTTTTCTGTTAAGCATTTCGTCATAGTAACTCTCGAATTTAATATCGTATTCGATCATTTTAACACCAGTCTCCAGTAATCTAACAACCTCATCCCGAACACTTACATCCACTGGACGAATTGCACAGTCGAGGACGTATGGCGAAGTTGGGGCTGAATCGTTGGTATTTAGGCTAGTACTAGTTGCTGACGAAGCACAGGTAACAAGCCACCCACACAATATGTGTAGGATAATCCTTTGGTGCATTTTAAATCCTGTATTGATCTTCGAGAATAAAACTGGGCCGCTGTGTCTTAAATCACCAGCAACTCCAAACGTACCTTAGCAAGACTAAATACATTAACGTCACTCGGTCAATTGTTCAATATAAAAGCCTTGCAAATATAGCATACAATACACTATGTATGTAACGCACACCTTATACACGACGCCGTAAACCAGTCTTTATATTTTTTCAATTAATTATAAGCTATACGACTCGTTAGATAATCGTATTCAGTATCAAGCTATGAGTTTTTATTACCAACAAGCTTTGAATCGTTGAATGGGCACGGTTTTAAAATGTTACTCAATATCCCGGTATCGCTATTACTCATCAGATTTTTTATTTTAGTTTTTGTTTCCTTGTGCCTTTTAGAATAATTTCTAGAAAATATATATTACCCACAGGTATAACTTTGGTTCAAGTACCGTTTGGTCTACATTTCGATTTAAAATCAGTTATTGAGAGCTAACTTTGATCACTATTTAAACATTCATACAAATCCAGGTAACCACTTCTATAGACTGTACACAGGTAGATCTTACCGCTAATGCATTATAAAACTTGATCATAAAACAAATCACAATATATGGCCTTACACCTTTCTGGCTGGCTGCTCGTCTTAAAGGTATACTTTTAAGGAGCGTTCTATTTGAATCGGTTAAGATGGAAGAGGGCGTTACGCTCTAGAGCTACTCGTTCTGCTCCGCTAAAGCCCAGGGTGCAAATATATAGAATTATCAAATGATAGCTTCTTTATCTCTGGTAAATCTCTTTTTGAGACATGAAAAGGCTTCTACAAATTTATATTGAATTTTTCTGTCGCACCAGTCATCCCTATTTGGTCACAACATCGCACCAGAGTTCATGTAGTCTGGATTCGGATTAGCTGAATTCCGTTAAGCAACTTGGGCGAAGAGGTCGAAAAATTATGTTTACATTTTAAACAAATGTAAATAAGCACAATTAAGCAAGCAACATAATTATCTGCCTAAATTGACTTAAAGGGACAATATCACTCTTGCTGGCTTGACAGCTCAAGAAAATAAATAATAGTCTTATTCTAAGTATTAGATGTTTAATTGTCCTACCTGTTGTGTAAATTATCCATTAAATCCTATTTTACTTGTCCAGAGGGTTCGAAAATATTTTAAAATCCAAGTCAAAGTTGAAAAGGTTTACGTTAGGCTTTTCAAATCATTTAGTTGAATTTTTCCAATTTTTTAAATTAGGTGTGTTAAGATAAAATTTGTATCATCAATTAATTGGCATATTGTAAACTAGTACAATTTGTTGACCAGAATAAAGATTGGGGCATATTATTCAGTTACAACAAGAGTGGTATTGAGCCTTTAAATCAAACGAACCCAGAATACCAACGAACCCAGAATACCCAGAATTTGGTTAAAGTCCATGCCACCGTGCCCCCCCCCCCCATTTCAGACAAAGTCGAAAGTGTAAAAAATTGGACGATAAATGACGGAAGGGGCCTATGAAATAAATATTTTGTAATCGCCTTTTAAAACGAATTGGTTATTTGTATAGTTAAAAACGCTTTACAATTTTTAATGTTGCCCTGCCGGTTTGTACAAAAGGAAAATGGGCCCACGCGATACTAAGTGATAATACATGTTGATCGACTCCTTTTATAGATGTCCCTTTAACCACTAGACCTTTATATATAATGCTAACTAGGTCGGTAGAACAGTAAAAGTTAAAATGTATAGTGTCGCTGCTGGATGCACAATTCAGTATGATTAATCTTTGTGACGGTGGGTGGATACAAGCCATTAAAATGAACCACAAAACATCAACCAATTTGATTTATTTGATAACGAAACATAAAACCCTAAAACTGTGTCCAACATTAAATTGAATGTTTTATTCAAGTTTTACGATGTTCATTGAAGCTCTCTACAAAACACCTTAAATCTAAACAATGAAGTACGATATTGTAGTCTCTATTACCTACAAGTTTAATTATAAGGTCGTTAAACAATGAAGTACGATGTAGTCTCTGTTACCTATAAGTTTAATTATAAGGTAGTTAACTTAATAATATTGTTTCTTAGAAGTTTGTCAGGCTTCACATTAGTATAGGTGTCCCCAACTCGCGATTCCCGGGGCCCATCCGTGCTTTATTATTGTTACCTTATAATTTCTGCCCTTTTAAGGTTGTGACCCTCGGGCCCTCGTTGAAATAAACCTTGTGGCCCTGTTACGGAAAAGGTTGATAACAGTATCAAAATTTCTTGGATGGTTAAAACTCGGCGTGTTTTAATGTGCATTATATGAATGTAAAACTATTGTTGCAAGGGCCTTTCAATGCACATAAAACGAAGCTAATGAAATGAAAACTTCATCGAACCGTCTAGTCTCATTGGCGACGTATTCTATAATCTATAAAAGTATCTGCCGAACAGCTATTCGTCGATTAAAATATTCTCCAGGAAATCAGTCGTTTTTAAATCCCACGTTACACATAAAGACGAGACAGGACATATTTACTTTTCTATAAAATCAAAACCACCTACTTCTCGATTATTCGAGTTACTCAGAATACAGTTAACAATATCTATTGTATTTATTAATATATCCGTTCTATGTTCAGTTCTTTGCAGACATAGCCGATATTAATTTTTCCTGGCTAGGTGTTATTATCACAGTGTGACACACTTTGTTGACACAGCATGCATATTGTGAACTATGCATATCAACTACAGTATTATAAAGAAATCCACTGGGGCTTGACTTGTTTTCAAATAAGTACTATTATCAACCTTTATTCGTACTTTATATCGCTACAATATTGGTATGGCGTCCGAACAGAAACCGAACCAGGTAGATCTGCAAATACCTGCATTATAGAATTGGAAAGCAACCAACTGGACAAAGTGTGATTAGATTATTATAGGAGCAGAGTATTTTTTTTATATACTTTCCTAAATCAACATACCCCCCCCCCCCACACACACACGAAAAAAACACCTACAATAATTATAAGCAAAATCGACGCTTTACAAATTAAACGATTAATGGGAATTTTTAAAGCTAATTGCAAGAAAATGGAAAACCTCCACTATGTATGTCAAAAGACAGATTTCCACCCGATTGGAGTTATACAAGGATGAGTGTTGAGGCCAACTCTCTTTAACTTTTATATTAATGACCTTCAACAATATGTTTGTTGTTTGCAGCCAACATTTGGTGTACTATGGTTGTTCAGGGTGAACAATTTAGTTTGGATCAATGGGATGTTGTCAACCATAACCAAAAAATATATTAAAGATACATTATGGAAGGAGGACAGAAATCCAAAATTTAAAGATACATACTGGGAAATTAGACAAAGAGCTGGCAGTTCTCGCTATAATAGTTAAAAATTAGATAATGTAAAGGAAATTTGCTGAAAATTTCAGTCAAATTGATTCGCTCTGAACCGAGAATTTAGCGATTGAATTTTGGGCCTAGCCTTGATCATCATTACTAAAGTCGGTACGATAAAATACATAGTCTCGATTATCCATTTTCTTGATTTAATCCTGAATGGAGTTGAGCACCAGATCGGATCCTAATCCAGTAAATATTACAGGCTAGCGATGACATTGAGAGAGTTGATTATGGTCTGGATAAGTTAATGAATGTCTAATTAATAATATTGCAGGCTTAAAGAAAGACCTGCAATAGGCAGATTTAGCTCTTGCATAATGTATGTTTAATGTAGCAACATTAATATATATCGTCAAAGACTGTCAACTCTAACACTAACAGGCTAAAGAAGCTAGGATTACAACTAGTGTGTAATCAGTGGTTATAATCCTTACTTTTAATAATTATCAAATTAAATAAAATTACTATATTTTCAATATCTTTAAAATGGTGTTGCTATTTGAAGTTTGAATTGTTGTTTGTTTTGTGTTTGAATCAAACAAGCCTAAGAAAATATAACATAAACGTTATAGCCTCATGTTCAAAGCTGGTGTAGACCCAGATTTGCAGGATCCACGGCAAGGCCAATAAAGATATTAGAATTATCACCGTGAAGGTTCTGGGGCATTTATGCCTAGGCACCATTCCAAAAGATGTGGCTATGTGTTGGTTTTATTTGAATATTAGACATCGCCGAATGTTAAGAAAATACTTATGGCAAGAATCTAATATTGACATCAATTGGGAAATATCAGTGGTTCTACTATCACTCCTGTATACTAGGACTTTTGGAGTTACTTCCCTTTTAGTATATCAGTTAATATTCATGTTACATTACAAGTTGTAAGGTTGTGTATTTACACGTTCAAGGCGCGGTGTAACTCCAGTACGCCCACGTAATTAATAGAATTGTGTCGAGCTTGTTGGCCTGTTTTTCTCTTACAAAAACCAAAAGGTTATTGTATGCTTTAATACACTGCCTTGACGCAGTCAAACTTTATCCATTTTTCTCCCTACTCTATGATCATACGGGTTCTTGTAGTAAAAAATCGAGCCGGTAAAATCTCGACAGGACTTTGGTCAGACAACCGTGACATGTGGTTATGGCTTTTGGAGTTACCCCCTCCCCCCCCCCCCACACACACACATTCCTCCTATCCCCTACCATGAGAACGACTAAACGATATCCCTTATCAGGCCCACCATACTGCACTATCGACAAGGTGGAGCCACTCTGTAGGTTACTTGATATGCCTTGTTTCAAAGAGCAACACTTTAATTTGGAGTGGGAATGATCCTGATAAAACAATGTTTTTATTGTAAATTTAATAAAGAACATATTACATTAATGTGAGTCTTTTTTTTTCCATTTTGCAGTGCCTTGATAATCGAGGAAATGTCAAATGCTCAAACACCTATAACTTCGTTCAGAATAAAGTAATTCTATTGAAATTTTCAATATATCTATTCATTTATCATTATCTATTTTAGAACTATAAACATTATCTATTTTAGAACTATAAGCATTATCTATTTAGAACTATAAGCATTATCTATTTTAGAACGATTAACGTTATCTATTTTATTTATAATTCGTATAGCAAGAACGGTCAACTCTTTTATCTAAAGCTTAGTTTTCTTTAGATATCTCTAGGATGTGGTTTATAACTTATATTTGATATATATTAGTTCCTGTCCATTTTTCAATACCTTGATCACGCTAAATTTCTTGCAACATCGACATTGATCCAGCAGAAGCATTTGCAACAAATTTCGCGCGGTATCTCTCGCTAAAGGTTGATGCATCTACAACTAAATCCACCTCGTTCTCGTTTGTCTCTATTGAATTATGGGTAGACGAAGTCATCAACATCCGTTCTGTTACGTCATTATTATTATCAGCATCTCGGGAGTGACCATTAACATCTGCAAATTCTTCCTTATTTAGGTCTGCGGACATGGAATTTCTTGAAGGAAGTTCTCGAGATTTTATGGGCACTATGTCATACACTGGCCACGATTGCTGGAATTTTCTTAAAGTGGCATTAAACTCAGCTTGAAACTGAACACTGTTCGCATTAAAGTTGGGATCTGACCCTTTATTAGCGAAAACATGGCGAAACACAATGGGCATCAATCCACCGGCAACGGTTGCCAACATTTGATTTGTCGAGGAAATATTATATACATCACCAAAGGCCATTACTACAATAATAAAAAACAACAAAAAACAAATTAGTTTGAAAAGCTCCAAAAAGGTACCAAAATTAGTTCTATACAGTGGCCCAGGGCATCCATGATATTTCATCTCAATAGCATCGAAGAAGAATTTTTCAGAGAAATAAGGCGTGTCTTCTTGATCCAGAAAGACCAGGAACCCAGAGGTCTGCCACTTGATGATTCCATCTCTTACCGTAAGATAAATATCAGATTTTGTATTATTCTCGCACTCCACACGAAACACAGTATTCTTCTGGTACATGGCATCAGCTTGCGCTGTATCTGTAATTTTATCCTTTTCGTGCTCTAAGATGTGACTGGTAATAACTTTGTGAAAGTTAAGATATTTCTTATAGACTTTACCAAAACAATCACGAACGTATAAAACTAGCAAGAATATAACAAAAATATATCGAACAGTCACGTCAGCATTAATAATAATTCCTATTAATGTGTATACGCCAACTTCCACGAAAAACGATATACATTCCATGGCCAGAAATGTTAAAGACCAAAATGATACGATAACACCTAAAATCACAACGAACTGTAGAAAAAGGTCCTTCTTAAACAAATTCCCCTTCTGCCGAAAATCCGCTTGTTTGAAGATCTTGCATCTAATAGTGAAGGACTCTGGACAAAGACAGATGAACAGCTGTATCAGTAGTCGTAACGTTAGGTTGATTGTTGGGATGAAGTAGAAGATGAACACCACGCTAAATAGAGGGGAGAGGATAATCCAAAAAGGCACCACCAGTATGAACCCAAGAATCCCTAAAGTATCGAAAGGAACTAAAGCCAAGTTCATCGCCCAGTTACAAACTCCTAGTTTCGATTTCTCTTTCATATCTCTGAAACAGTCTCTTAAAACCATTTTAAATTTTTCTTGAAAGGCTTTCGTCAAAGCCCCATAAACCAGAGAATCTAGGGCTAAGACAATGTAACAGATCAAAAAGATTCCATGAAGGGGTGACAAGTGAAGGGTAAAATTTCTTCCAAACGGTGTTTTTAATCCTCTGCTGTTGGCTACTTCCCTTCTCAGGTTTATATCATCATGCTCAAAGCTGGTGTAGATCACGATTCGCAAGATCCACGGCACGGCCAATAAAACTATTTGAATTAATTTCATGAAAGTTCTGAGACATTTATGCCAAGGTAGTTTTCCAAATCCAGGATTAAGGTTACCGCATATACTTTTATCACAGCACGGTTTAAGAGTTTCGGTGAACCTTATTTTACAGCGACAGAAATTGTTATATAAATAGCGGAAAACACCAACCGGCACGCAATTTTCACGTATCAGACGATGCTGGCTAACAGAGAGTCGGAAATCATTCAATTCCACTTCGTAAATTTTGTCCAAGTTCATAGTATTTAGCACTGTCTTAAAGTATTCCATGCCTTGAACTCTACCCAGTTTGACATTTTTATTTGGACTTTCGTATGATTCGGGAAATCTGGTGGCGACAACTTTAATTTTTTTCTTTTCTTGCTTTTTCGTGTGGTAGTGATACTCAGTCGCTGTGAATTTCTTAAGATATAATTTTTCTGGAATCAACAGAGGACTGAACAAAAGTATCAAAATTTTAATAAAGACTATAAATATAACCAAAACATTTATCCAAACTCCTCGTACACTATCCTTACATATTAATACTCCACCAGGACCATAATGACAGCAGTTATACACAAAGGCAGCATAACCATTATCATCGCGAACATACATGTTGCAGACGTATTCCTCTGTTTCAATGGTTGGTGTTGGCTTAGTTCGATCGACTTCTTTGAAATCATATAAAAGTGTTTCTCGTATGAGAGATGTCGTTTCGTGTACTGATAATGCACCAATGCAACCGTCTGGTTCATCATACATAACAACTGTCATTGCCTCTACCCCTATCCGCATAGCATCAAGAGACAACAGTTCATAATTTTCATCCAGCATCAACAGACTTCTAGCTTGACTGTTCATTATCCGTACCCAATGATTCAACCTAAAACTCATGCCACCTTTCGTATGAAGCATTCTGTCGGGGTAATTCTTGAATTTAAGATCGTATTCGATCATTTTAAAATCAGTCTTCAGTAATCTAACAACCTTATCCCGAACATTTACATCCACTGGACGAATCGTGCAGTTGATTGTCTCTGAGATGATGCTTGATCTGTGGAATTAAGACCAACAGCAGTGTTTGATGAAATCAGTGCAACGAACCACCCCAATAACATTTGCACAAGAATCCTTCGGTACATTTTCGGTCGTGTAACGTATCCAAATAGTGTAATGACAGGAAATAGGATTAGTCAATTGTACATTTAGTACACTGAAAAAAAACTTGTGTTGTTTTGCATTGCATTAACACAAACTTGTGTTCTTTTTAATGCATTAACACAAATCTTGTGTTTTTTCCATATAATTAACACAAGTAATGTGTACCGTCAACAAATATTTTTTTTTTAAATTTGAACTCCATACAAAGTCTTAATCCGGGGGCCCACAAGTAAGAGAAAGGTATTTTTTACTCAGACAATATAGCCAGACAGACTTGAATGCTAATTGGTGTTAAGATGTCTGTAGTTAAAATAAAGTTGGGCCCAATAAACTGGTAGATCAAAGGCCTGTTGAGCGCTCATGCCCGGTGTGATTTTAACAATTTACTCCAAATGCGTTGACAAGAAAATAAGTAAAACTGTTATTGAATGTGATTGGTTGATAAAATCAACGTACTATAGGCTACATTTTGTCTGCGATATCATCTCGGTGGAAGCGGACATTAAATGAAGTGATTTCACACAATTAATTTAACATTTAACAACGTGCTGAAATGATTTTGGAGCAGTGATATGTTTGACAAATGTAAGCTAATGGTCACATAGAATACAAGACCGCAGGTTTGTGAATATTTATATAAAAAAAATAATACCATGTATGTAATTTAGCATCGATATTGTTTCTCTGTATAATATTAGTATTTCGTTTCCTTAAAAAAAACTCCCAACAATTTAAACCGGAAGTTCATGTTTATAATATGGCGCGGTCAGGAAAAAAATTTCGGCATGTTATTATCAAATCTGTTCAAATTTTCTGAAATCATGCTTAATTAACATTAGTTGTTCGGCGCTACGATGTTGTTCAAATACATACATTACAGAATCACATTATGATTAAAGCAGAAACGGCTCGACTTGAACCAGCAGGTAAGAATCTGTTTTGAAATTACATCTTGGGAGGTTGGATTGGCGTTGGAGACCCGATTGGCGGCCATTTTGATTCTTGTTTCATGATTTTTTTATATTATAACGATTTTGCCAAGAGTAGACATAAACGCGGGCACAGACTAGAAAAAAATCTTTTTACACTTTTGTGTTAGTTGAATTGTAATCTAATTTATGTTTAAAAAAACAACCTTAAATCTAATAAGCAGACGGAAGATATGGACGAACAACAAGAAGAAGTTATGGAGGTCCCAACAACTGAACCTATGGAAGTAGAAGAATCGTTTACAGCCGAAACCCGATACGGTGTGCCAGTTCCGGTCATGGAGTCCTCCATCTCAGACGATGCCGACGTTAGTGTCTTCTGCGACGAAGAACCCGTAGTGGTGTATACGCAGGTAGAAGCTGGTACCTCCCGTGGCAAGTCCAATTTGTTTGACAACCAAGGGTTTAGTTATAGTTAAAATATCCAAGCCAAGTTGTCCTAATCTGGAGGTAGTTCGTGTAACCAATACATTATAATAGGAAGCAATATATATATATATATATAGTCCATAATAGCAAATATAATAAAGTATAATTGCTACTCGTCTTATTGGCTACGTATTTGTTCTTTATGTCACATAATAAAAGTCTCTGCACAAAGCCTTTTAATAGATTAAAATAATCTCCAGGATTGGTCGGTTAAACCTACTCTAAAGGAGCTAAGTCTCTAACTCAATAATTTCCATAATGTTCAAAATTAAAAACACGAATTAGTATTCAATATTGTTCGATATTCCTAACACAATTGTCATTTTATAATTACTACACGTGTCGTGTACCCTATGGTTTCGGGTGCCATTTTGTAATGAACAAATAAAAACATATCCTACAACACAATGTGGAAGTAATTAGTAATGACTGATTCTCAAACGACAAAATAATAATTTAAAAAAACGTATAGAATGCACTAAGCAGGCGTAAACGACTGCCGTTCAATTCAAACTGTTCACGCATTTCATCGAGCATGATTGAGTAGAAATTACAATATTGTTTTTAAAAATTGAATATAAATCACTTTACAGACATTCATATTACATTAATATGTGCTTATCGAACCACTTTGGTCTATTTCAAGGTTTCCAAAAAAGAAAAAGAAAAAAAACCTGAGCCATACACCCTTTAAGCATAAAGAACGAAGCAAGGTAGGTTCACTTTTTTGGAGAATCAGAACGCCTCTTCACTTCTCGTTTATTGGAACTACATAGAATACAGTTAACAATATCTATTGCAGTTATTAATATATGTTCAATTCTGTGAATACATAATCGATATTAATTTTTCCGGGCCCGGTATTATTATCACAGTCGTCAATTGAATCTTGGCTTATTTTCAACAACGTACTATTATACCCTTTATTTTATGTCACAACAAGATATGCTATAGTTTGTTTTATAGCCAGAGCAACACATATGGCGTCATTTCATAAATAAGGTGACCCAGGTGGATTTCCAAATACCTGTTTTATAAAATAGGAATTTACTTTACTAAACATATGTGAAGTGCAATATGTGATCAGATTATGTGAACAATTTATTACATCTGAAATAAAATTACCCAAACCACCAAAAAAACATACAGAACAATAAACACCCCATAACACGCTTTACAATCTATGCTTTACAATCTACGCTTTACGCTTTACAAAATCTCGAGATTAATGGGGAATTGTAAAGCTAATCGTTTACATGTATACATATAGAAAACCTCTCCATGTCAAAATTTAGATTTCCACCCGATAGGAGTTATACAAGGATGAGTGCTGAGACCGGATCTCTTTAACTTTTATATTAATGACCTTCAACAATAAGTTTGTTGTTTGCAGTTAGTAATGATTTGGATTTTTTTTACAGGTCTTTTTTCGGGAGGGGAAAGGTGGGGGGGGGGGGGCAACTGTGAAGCCCGTTTCCATGCGCGCGTTTTCGCCAGTTACATAAAAAAGGTCCCGTAGCACTTGCATAAGATCGAATTTTTTGCCGGGCACGAAGACTCGTACATGGGAAACAGACCTTATATAAATTATTAATTTGGCGTTTATTTATAAATCATTAATTAGGCATTTGTTTACACGACAAACCCACAATGAACTCTTTAAACGCTCGGATGAACGTTATATTGAATTGATTAAAACATCATCAATATTTCATAATCTAACGTTAACATGGATAAACGAGACTTTATTATGTTTAGCAATTGTACTTGATAATCGGGGGGGGGGGGTGTTGGATGGCCGAACTACGCGCAGGCGAATTATTGAAATAAAACATTAAACCATATGTTAGTCCCGAAATGACCTAGTTTGTGTCGAGTGGAAGTTAAACCCAATCTCTCTCTCTCTCTCTCTCTCTCTCTCTCTCTCTCTCTCTCTCTCTCTTGATAATCGAAAACATGTCAAATGCTCAAACACTTATAACTTCGCGGAGACTAAAGTAATTCTCCTGAAATTGTCAAGATATGTTTTCTTTAATCAATATCTATTTTAAGAGAGATACCAAAACAGTGGGACCTTATGCCTCCGTAAAGTCTTAAAGGGACAATAACACTCTTGCTGGCTTGAAAGCTCCAGAAAATAAATAATATCTCTATCTAAGTACTAGATGTTTAAGTGTCCTACCTGTTGTGTAAATTATCCATTACATCCTATTTTACTTGTCCAGAGGGTTCGATAATATTTTTAAATCGAAGTTTCATTTGAAAAGGTTTACGTTAGACGTTTCAAACCATTATGTTGAATTTTTCAAAATTTTTAAATAAGGTGTGTTAAGATGAAATTTATATCATCAATTAATTGAAATATTCTAAAATAGTACAATTTGTTGACCAGAATAAAGATTGGGATATATTATTCAGTTACAACAAGAGTGGTATTGAGCCTTTAACACTAAAGATAAATTTCGCATATGAGGAAAATGTCCGAAACATGGCAATCTAAACAACAAATTATCGCTTTAGTTTTATCCTATCCGTCTCAAAATCTGAGCTTGCAATATACTGTGTCTTATAAGAGCAGAAAAGGGTTGATTACTTATAGTGGTTATAATCCCTTCTTTTTATAATAAGGAATTTTATCTTGGCGTTGCCATTTGGAGTTTGTACTGTTGTTTGTTTTAACTTTGGGTTAGAGTCAAGCATACATTTTCCCCTAATCTATGATCATACGGGTTCTTATAGTAAACAATCGAGCAGGTAAAATCTCGACAAGAGTTTGGTCAGACAACTGTGAAATGTGGCTAGGGCTTTGGTAGTTACTTCCCTTTAGTATATTACTTCTATTGAATTTCAACGATTACTGCACGCCAATGTGTAGACGGGTTCTCTGTTTTTCGTACAATCTGAGTGTCTAGACGATGTCCTTTATCAGCCCCAACACCCGCCCCTCCGTCCTACCCTACTTACAAGGTGGAACCACGCTAAAAAAACCGGATGAACTTTCTCAGTCAACATGAGGACTGAACACGAGGTTAATGAGCCGGAGCTCTACCCCCTCCATCCCCGCCCCGCCTTCATCCCCTACCATCCGAACGACTAACCGATGTTCCTTATCAGGCCCAACGTAATGCATTACATGTTTACTTGTTATCCGTTGATTCCAAGAGCAACACTTTAATTTGGAGTGGGAATGATCCTGACAAAACAAAAGTTTTTATTCTAAATTGAATATAGAACAGACTATATACTTTTATATTACATTAATGTGAATCGTCTAATTGGTGTTGTGTGTCCTTTTCTTTCATTTTGCATTGACTTGTTTTGTTTTCTTTAGATATCCCCAGGATGTGGTTTATAACTTATATTTTATATATATTAGTTCCTGTCCATTTTTCAGTGCCTTGATCTCGCTAAATTTCTTGCAACATAGACATAGATCCAGCAGAAGCATTTGCAACGAATTTTGCTCGGTATCTCTCGCTAAAGTTTGATACATCTACAATCAAATCTACCTCGTTCTCGTTTGTCTCTATTGAATTATGGGTAGACGAAGTCATCAACATCCGTTCTGTTACGTCATTATTATTATCAGCATCTCGGGAGTGACCATTAACATCTGCAAATTCTTCCTTATTTAGGTCTGTGGCCATGGAATATCTTGAAGGAAGTTCTCGATATTTTATTGGCACTATGTCATACACTGGCCACGATTGCTGGAATTTTCTTAAAGCGGCATTAAACTCAGCTTGGAACTGAACACTGTCCGTATTCAAGGTTGGGTCTGTGCCCTTTCCAGCGAAAACATGGCGAAATATAACAGGCATTAATCCACCGGCAACGGTTGCCAACATTTGATTTGTCGAGGAAATATTATATACATCACCAAAGGTCATTACCACAATGATAAAAAACGACAAAAACAAAATTAGTTTGAAAAACTCCAAAAAGGTACCAAAAATAGTTTTATATAGTGGCCCAGGGCATCCATGGTATTTCATCTCAATAGCATCGAAGAAGAATTTTTCAGAGAAATAAGGCGTGTCTTCTTGATCCAAAAAGACAAGGAACCCAGAGGTCTGCCACTTGATGATTCCATCTCTTACCATAAGATAAATATCAGGTTTTGAATTATCGTCGCACTCAACACGAAACACGGTATTTTCCTGGCATATGGCATCAGTTTTTGCGATGTTTATTATTTTTTCCATTTCTTGATTTAAAATATGATTGGTAATAACTTTGTAAAAGCTAAGATATTTCTTATAGACTTTACCAAAACAATCACGAACGTATAAAAGTAGCAAGAATATAACAGAAATATATCGAACAGTCACGTCAGCATTAATAATAATTCCTATTAATGTGTACACGCCAACTTCCACGAAAAACGATATACATTCCATGGCCAGAAATGTCAAAGACCAAAATGATATGATAACACCTAAAATCACAACGAACTGAAGAAAAAGGTCGGTCTTAGACAAATTCCCCTTCTGCCGAAAATCCTCTTGTTCGCTAAGCTTGTTTAACCGTAGTTTTTCTTTCATTGGTTCATATCTGGCTTTGAAGATCTTGCATCTAATAGTGAAGGACTCTGGACAAAGAAAGATGAATAGCTGTATCAGTAGTCGTAACGTTAGGTTGATTGTTGGGATGAAGTAGAAGATGAACACCACGCTAATTAGAGGAGAGAGGATAATCCAAAAAGGCACCACCAGTATGAACCCAATAATCCCGAAAGTATCGAAAGGAACTAAAGCCAAGTTCATCGCCCAGCTACAAACTCCTAGTTTTGATTTCCCTTTCATATCCCTGAAACAGTCTCTTAATACCATTTTAAATTTTTCTTGAAAGGCTTTCGTCAAAGCCCCATAAACCAGGGAATCTAAGGCTAGGACAATGTAACAGATCAAAAAGATTCCATGAAAGGGTGTCAAGTGAAGGGTAAAACTTCTTTCAAACGGTGTTTTTAATCCCATGCTGTTGGCTACTCCCCTTCTCTGGGTTATATCATCATGCTCAAAGCTGGTGTAGATCACGATTCGCAAGATCCACGGCACGGCCAATAATACTATTTGAATTAATTTCATGAAAGTTCTGAGACATTTATGCCAAGGCACCATTCCAAATCCAGGATTAAGGTTACCGCATATACTTTTATTACAGCACGGTTTAAGAGTTTCGGTGAACCTTATTTTACAGCGACAGAAATTGTTATATAAATAGCGGAAAACACCAACCGGAACGCAATTTTCACGCAACAAACGATGTTGGCTAACAGAGAGTCGGATATCATTCAATTCCACTTCGTATATTTTGTTCAGTTTCATAGTATTTAGCATTGTGTTGAAAAAGTCCATGCTTTGGATTCTATCTAATTTGACAACTTTATTAGCACAATTGAAAGATTCTGGAAATCTAGTGGCGACAACTCTAATTGTTTTCTTTTCTTGGTCTTTCGGGTGGTAGTGATACTCAGTCGCTGTGAATTTCATAAGATATAATTTTTCTGGAATCAACAGAGGACTGAACAAAAGTATCAAAATTTTAATAAAGACTATAAATATAACCAAAACATTCATCCAATCCCCTCGTACAATATCCTTACATATTAATACTCCATCAGGATCATAGTGACAGCAGTTATACACAAAGGCAGCATAACCATTATCATCGCGAACATACATGTTGCAGACGTGTTCCTCTGTTTCGAGGGTTGGTGTTGGCTTAGTTCGATCGACTTCTCTGAAATCATATAAAAGCGTTTCTCGTATGAGAGATGTCGTTTCGTGTACTGATAATGCACCAATACAGCCACCTGGTTCGTCAAACATATCCACTTCCATTGCCTCTACCCCTATCCACATAGCACCAAGAGACAACAGTTCATAATTTCCATCCAGCATCAACAGACTTCTAGCTTGACTTTTCATCGTCCTTACCCAATGACTCAGCCTAAAACTCATAGCACTTTTTGTATTAAGCATTATGTCGGGGTAATCCTCGAATTTAAGATCGTATTCGATCATTTTAACACCAGTCTCTAGTAATCTAACAACCTTATCCCGAACACTTACATCCACTGGATGAATGGTACAGTTGATTGTCTCTGATGATGCTTGATCCGTGGAATTAAGACCAACAGCAATGTTTGATGAAACCAATGCAACGAACCACCCCAATAACATTTGCACCACAATCTTGCGGTACATTTTCGGTCGTGTAACGTATCCAAATAGTGTAATGACAGGAAATAGGATTAGTCAATTGTACATTTAGTAGTTAAAATATCCAAGCCAAACCTTCCTAATGTGGACGTAGTTCATGTAACCCATACATCATAACCCGAAACAAGTGTCAACTGCAAATCCACAGTTTATAAAGCAACTCACATAAAGGAGATTGCCGTTAGTCTTAAAGGTGCACATTTTAACTAAGGTCGATTTCAATCTGTGAAAATGGTGAATCATGGCTAATATACGCAATACCAAATACTTTTTACGGATCCATGCCCAAAATACACACACACACACACACACACACACACACACACACAAAAAAAACCCCTTATTTGAACAATGGTCAACATTCATTCTTTAAATGCGTATTCGAGACTACTCAAGGATCAATGTTTAAATTTTTCGAATCTTTTCACAGTTGTACCTTTGCCAGCTACGCGTTTGATCTGAAGTAGGCCTCTTGAATATTTGCATATTAAACCCTGGAGCGCATTGCAATTCAATATGATTAATATGGTTGTTATCCATGGATTACGAAAGCCCATTACTGTATAATTATTGGGGCATAAAAACGATCCCCCCCCCCCCCGCATTACATATTATATTTTAAAAAATGTATCAATTTCCTAGAACATCCGGTACCACTTATCAGTCAACATGCCAGGGAGTACTGATCCAAACAACTAAAATTTAATATGATCTCCCATAACTGCATTTCACTTTCTCGCTAGAGCATTGCATTTATTTAATTGCTATTTATTATTATCTAGCAGGTGGTGCAAAACCAAAATTAAAATATAAAAAAGTGAATTCTACGTGGCAGTAATAGTCTTTCGTAGTAGACAGCGGCCATTGAAATAAATCATAAATTATAAATCTACTCATCACTTTAAACAAACAAACCATAAACGTTTCGGGTATTATATATCCTGACATTTTTTAAAATGATTTACGATTTTCAATAAAGAGGAGTGTGGGTGGGGTAGTGTGTGTGCGAGAGAGAGAGAGAGAGAGAGAGAGAGAGATGGTGTTTAACGAGCACTTAACATAAACTACGTCATTTCGGGACTAACATATAGTTTAATACAGTACCAAATAATGATTATCTACAATACAAAGTAATTAGTATTTACAATACAAAGTAATTAGTATTTACAATACAAAGTAGTAAATATTTACAATTGAAAAGTACATCTAAAATTTGTTAGCTTTTGTGAAGTCTTTACCGGAGAGCAATAGAAGGCCTCAAATCAATATTTATACCTTTTAGTTTAAAAGTATTATCGTCATTTTTATACATATCGTACACTATAGATTGTCGAAACAATTTAAAAAGCAGTATCTTGCGTTTATAAACGATTTTCACTTTGATTCACAGAAAAAGTTTAAGCGGAACACTATCGGTTGCATATTTTCAGGTGTTAACATCATGAGGCGGGTATCATCGTAGGTACCAAGAGCAGGAACACAACCAATCCTAAAATAAAACATATTTAAAATACAGATGTGACGTCACCCTTTGATGTTGGCGTACCATTATTTCAAATAATGGTACGGGCCACTTGCCAAGCGTACATTATTTACACTAGTTGAACTTTTGGACCCGCGTGACGTATTTCATTACCAAAGCACGTGCGAGTGTCTGTAGTCTGTAATTTGCCTCAATGAGCAACCTTTTGGTTGGAATTCCAGCGCTATATAAGATTATTATTTTTATTATTATTAAACAATTATATTATCCATTTCTGTAGCATTACATGATGTCCTATTTAAACATGCATTATGCAAGAGCTAAATCTGCCTATTGCAGGTCTTTCTTTAGGCCTGAAATGTTATCTAAAGTATTAATTAGACATTAATTAACTGATCCAGGCCATAATCAACTCTCGATGGCATCAGATTTCTCCGATATTAAATAGATTAGAATGGTTCAGCGATACTTCGATTTACTCAAATATGGAGGACCGAGACTTAGCTTCGATCAACCAGTACGGTGGTTGAAATTATTGCACACGTCTGTCAAACCTTCAAAGGCTCGCAATAGAGTAATTTGAATGGAATTTTCAAATTATTCATTTTATACCATCTACTTTCGAACTATTATAGCAAGAGTGGCTAGTTCTTTATCTAAATCTTACATAATGTATCTTTAATAAAACTTATTAACGAATTTGAAACCAATATGGTCGAGGCCATAATATTGTTACGAGCGTTCTTTTTAAGCTTCATAGAATTTTCTTAATGAAAAAGTCGAACCGTCGCAGATTCTTTTGATTTTATTCATTCATTATTTAGAATCAAAATATAAAACATCAGCTGTGAGGTTATGACGGTAACTGTCTGTCAACGTTTATAAACAAATCACTTTATTCTTTGGATTTCACATTATAACCTATCCTTCTCATTTCACAATCAATGAAGCGAAAACTGACCAATCAAAGTAGCTATAATGGAAACCAGTGATTACGTTTCTAGTGTAAGGAAAGATTTGTAATATAAGAATCTTCAATGAAAAAAAATGGAATTAAACAGTTAGAAGGTTTAATGGATCCATGTGATTTAAAGCGTCGACACATGGATCCAAAATTTTCACAGTCTACAACAGAATACAATACAGAACAGCTGTATTCATCCGCAAAAAAAAATAGTACCTAAAATTCATGTACATTATGTAGGTTTAAACGTCAAATGAGGTCAAATGAATAGAGACGTCTTTAATATATACTAAATATTCGTATCATCCCAAATCGACAATAAAACAGTGAGAAAAAGTAATGGCAATCTAATTAACATAAAATTTACGACATAATGGATTCTTCAATGTTTTGATGGTGATCATGAAGAAAATAGGCCTACATCTGTTCTCAGGAATCCGATAAGATTTTCAAAAAAAAGATCCGTAGAATTATAGATTGTTATTCCACAAAGTCGAAAGGTATGTTAGATTTTTCATTCAGTCAAGTTAGAGCGAGTTTATTATCGTACTTTGAGCTCCAAACCCGATAGAAATAAAGGCGGAAGTGGCCATAATAGTTTTAGAGATCACTACGTGATGGCGCTCCTGCGTCGCGACAAACGGGGCCGATTTGTCTAGCCAACAATGTTACGTTATACACTAGCCAATCATCTTACCTGTTAAATAAATCCCAAATAAACTGGACGTAAAGGATGCAAGGTAACACATGTTGGCGTCTGAATAACGACCATTTGTTAATAGAAGCTTTGCTCGTCTATTGGTCAGCCAGGCTACCATACCAAATACGGGATTGAAGATACAAGCAACAAAGGCTAATATTTTGTAATCCGGTGGTCGCAGTCTTACTTGTATCTGAAATTGGAAATGGTTATCAATCGTTTAGGAACAGAACAGTTAATACATTTTTTTATTGCTTTTTGAGAATTTCAACATCGAGTCTTTACCCGAAACGCAAGCAAACAACATAAAATGGACTTTACTGCACCACTGGGCTAATAAAGACGGCGCAACGAAACGAAAAAAAAAATGGTTTGGCTCTTTCTGTAGGCTTTTTAATGACTTTTTAAGAGGCTGGCAGCTGGGAGCGAGTCAGTACAGTAAAATTTCACAGACATTGCAAGAATTTTAAACAACAAATATCAAATGATGTCAAGGGATCCGGGCACTCGGCAAACCTCGGCAGATTCCGTTACTCTACATCTAGCCTCGGCTGTATGACGGTAAGAGATATGTACCTACGCCTATACAATTGCGATGCGGCACCGGTTTACTTATGAGGAAAACTTGCCGCTTTTAAAAAGAAGTTATCAAAATTGCGTCTTTCGAAGCGTGTGTAGAATTTTCAGTGCAAAGTTGCCCTTGTTTGAAGAATAAACATGACAGAAAACAGCTCCAGAGTTTGAAATATTTGTATGATAAAACATTCCTCAAAGGCGTCGTCATGGGCAGCGCCGTTGGTTATTTGAAAGTAGTTCCAGTGGCAGACTTCGTCATACAGCCGAGGCTAGATTTAGGGTACTGGAATCTGCTGAGGGTTGCGGAATGGGGATCCAGGGACCAGTCGAAAGCGTCAACTGTGGTGTATAGCCCCTGTCCTATAATGATACAGACACAAGCTAAAACGTCACGCGACCGGTCTATAGTGATACAGACTTTACTTACAAGGAAAAAGAAAACAAAACAAAGCACCACAAGCTAAAACGTCATGCGACCGGTCTTGACGTCATGAGTTAGAACGTCAATTTTGTTTTTAAACAATAATAATGGCAATAATCCGGTTAAAAGTTTGAAAAACGCTAAAACTAAAAATTAATAAAGTGTAGGTAGCTTATACTAATTACGAATAAATGTATTTTATAGAAAAAAAAGATCTACATCGTATTTGATAGAACAAAATTCCACCTGTCCATTGTCATCTGATTGAGAGTCATCATCTTCGTTAATTAACATTTCCATCAATGTATCACCCATTGTGTCTGTCAAACTATGCTATCTGCTGCAAATGGTATTCCAAATAATAAAATGTCTACTTGTGGTATCGTCTATGAGAGCTTGGAGGGCTTTCCGGCTTCAGCCTAGCTCTAACTGTCTGGCTTGTAACCGAATTCACTAACTCAATAAAGAACTGGTTTCATAGTACGGTCATTAGAAACTGAATTTATTGCTCGGTCATGTAAATGCACCCCGAAAATTATATTAAATACCAATCCGAATTCACTAACTAAATGTGGAATCCTGTAAACTCTGTTAGAATAGGAAGCAACCTGGTTCTTCAATTCAATTCGATCTACCTGGCACAAACCTGACAAATTCACTGCTATAACCTATTTTCAATTTAATTTATTCAACATATTGTCAAACGAAACTTCCCGGAACCAACCCGACAAATATCGGCTTAATTCTTTTTACGCAATTACAGTTTTCGTTTCTTCAGTGATGTCGCTTTGATCGGTATGAAGTATTCATTGTAAACTCGGTTCAACCGCTTTCTGTTTGCAGCTAAGTATCCCTTGTAAAATCCGGTCAACCACTTTTATCCGTATGAAACGAAGTATCTCTTGTAAAATCCGGCAACCGCTTTTATCTGTATGAAGTATCCCTTGTAAAATCCGAAAATCCGTTCAACGCTTCTGTTTGCAATGGAGTACCCCTTGTAAAATCCGTTTAACCGCTTTTAACTGTATGAAGTATCCCCAGTAAAATCCGTTCAACAAAATACAAACCAATATGAACACGTCCACTGTTTTAGTTGCTATAATATTTTCATCTCTAGTACTTATAGTTTATTAGGCTCGTATGCACCTGGTTGGGTCACGTTAGTTGTGCACCCAATTTGCTGTTTGACTCAAAATATGATATATAATATTACATTTATTTACACTGTTATGATAGAAGATAGAAAAAACAATTGTAAAACGCTTGATGGAAGATACAAACACCCATTGTATAACATTTACAATCGTATCATCCTAATCTCCTCAAATATCACATTATATTATACATATAAATATAAATATATATATACTTGGATTTTATTACGCCATTAGGTTAAAATGACATTTTATTGGGAATAAAATATTATTGGTTGTGTGTATCGACTGTCAGGAGAGAGAGAGAGAGAGAGAGAGAGAGAGAGAGAGAGAGATGAAATGAAATGGGGTTTAACGTCCTACTGTTCTGCTCCTAAACTGGGCTAATGAAGACGGTCATACGCCATACAGTGTGCTATGAGGGGAATTTTGCCCCGGCAGCGGCACTACGGCCTACTCTTATATCGAATTCCAACTGCCAAGTAATCTTTTACGTGCACGCCAATGTGTACACGGGGGGTCTTTAGCAGTGGGAGAAAACTGTTGAAACCAGAGAAAACCCACGAAACTGGACAAGCGAGCCCACCCCTTGTCACTCACGTACAAGCGGAAAATCGAAACCACGCAACTTGACTCAATGACAGACCTTATAATTTCACGCGCACGCGTTAAATCACTAAACCATCCATTGGCGGGTCTAAACTTGATTGTTGTCTTTAGATCAGTTTATGGTCATTAACTCGGTTGCGACCAATTAAAACGAGATTATTTTGTATGGGCTTAGCACGCCCGCCTTCACCAACCCCTTGCCTGGAATGATCCATTAACAAATCTCATAAAGAGTCTATTTGTAATTATGGAAAATGGCACACAGACAGACACAAGTATTTCCATAACAACAAAACACATGCTTATGGAAAACAGCTGTTTAGAATGGAATGATCAAACGTGTTTTAACTGATGTTAAAGTAGCTAAGTCTCTTATTCAGTATCATCCAAAGTCTTTTACTTTGAAAACACAAATTTTTGTCAATTCAAATCAACATTGATGTTGTGATCTTACCGGGAAAATATGGGCTTCTGATATCCAATATTTAAGACAAAATAGACATTTTACCATTGGTACACGAATCTTGTACCATAATGTGTTTTAGCACCATTTGTAACAAGGGACTTGAAGTGCAAGGCTAGACATATTCCACAAGTCATGCCAAACGGTGACAAGCCATAATCTTATCTGGAGAGCATGCGCAGTAAATACTAACGGTGTAGACTGGCAAAACCAGACGCTAGAGATTGCCATTCGATTGAGACATCTGGCGCATTTCGCCGAACATAACTGATTAGAAATTACAGTAAAACAGAAACAATTGAATGCAAATCAGTTTATATATATTCATATTACATTATTATATGCGTTGCGACCCATTTGTGTCAATTTCTAGGTCCCATATATTAGCGATTTAGCTAATACAACTGATCTATGGTCAGAAATTTGGACTGCTGAACTACATGGCTATAATATATTAGTTTTAAAAATTCTAAATTTGATTACCCCCCGTCTCTCTCTCTCTCTCTCTCTCTCTCTCTCTCTCTCAGGCACACCCATACCCTCACTCCCGCACACCCCCACACACACTACCGTCTTCTTCCTGTTTCAAGATGCCATCATGGTAGCCCGTATTACTAGTTCTGATATATACTACGAGTATTGATTGCCGTACATTATGACGTTTAGAAACTTACAAGATACCGTGTACTTTTCTCTCACGGGGACTTAGTGTCCGTCTCATACAGACAGATGAACTTCTAGTAAAATGACGAAAGTTCTTTGGTTTTCGCTAACTTTATTTCTGATCTGGTTTGCTGACTGCAACGACATTAACTGGTATAGAGTGCAAAGCATGGATAATAAAATGACTTATCCGAATACAGAACTTGAAACAATCAATTGTCATAAAATTAAATGCGCAAAAAAATGTTTCGAAAATTTGAACTGTATGTCGTTTTTCTATGATATCAACACGAAGATGTGCTATCTACACAGATACGTTTATAACGTTACGTCTCCGACTCAGATCTCAAGCACGACTTATTACGTTTCTCCATCAAGAGGTAAGTTAATTTTTTTAGTCAACTGTAAAATTATTTTATTAAAGAAAACTATATTATGTATATGGATGTCAGTCAGAAGTTATTCCGGTATATAATATATAATGCACGGGTAGCAGAGAGTCAGACCCAGTTAGTAACACGCTGACCCGCTGACAAAGGGGCGTGGGGGGCTAGAGTTCGCTCCCGGTGTTACTGGTCGATATGCAGTTTTGATTTTGCTCTAGAATTTTTATCTCTATCTTGAATATTTATTGAACTGTGTGTTATACTAACCCTGATTTTTTTCTTCTTATTATAGAACGGTAGGCTATATTATTTTCGGTAAATATTTAGAACACGTCACTATTACAGTCTTTCCCTGATGAGGTACACTGTTAGAAATTTATGTAATATTACAGTAGTACAAGTAGTTTTTGTACCTTAATTATCGGTATATTCTCCACAATATAGTAGTTTTACCATGTCTGGCGTATTTTTACGGAGTTTCGTGTATGTTTACAGAGTTTCGTGTCTTCTTTTTAGAATAGACAGTGATGAAATCAAAGACACATTCAAAATTAGTAAAAATACATTTTTACATATATAATATTTCCAAAATGAACTGAAAATAAACAAGCAAGCATGTAATTTTACAGATCTTACATTTATTTACAATATTTTGTAAATTTACTTTTAGGTTAGAAATATAAATAAAATTACAGCAGTTCTCACTATAAGAGTTAAAAAGTAGATAATGGAAATGAAATATGCTGAAAATTTCTGTCAAATTGATCCACTCTGAACCGAGATATTAAAGACTGAATGTTAGGACTAGCCTCGATCATCATTACTAAAGTCAGTACGATAAAAAAATATAGTCTTGATTATCCATTTTTGAATTCAATCATTAATGAGCGTTGAGCCACAGATCGGACTCAAATCCAGTGAAAATCCAAAACATAAAATGGCATCGAGAGTTGATTATTGTCTTTTCATGTTATAAATGTCTAATTAATAATTTAGATAACATTTCAGGCCTAAAGAAAGACCTGCAATAGACAGATTTAGCTCTTGCATAATGTATGTTTAACTTATTGGTAGTTATCGCATTCGGTAAATTCATTGTCTCTTAGCATGCATTTTAGAGATTTTACGTTTGTTCACATTATTTTGTAAACTTTCAGGTGAGAAATATAAGTAAATTTACAGCAATTAAATTATTTGTTTTTACCATAAAATGTTCGGAATGTTTACCCAAATGATGTATATTTACCATGTTTCATTCTTTTTTACAATAAAGTTTGATGAAACCAAAGGCACATTAAACCCCGGTAAAAATACATGCGTAATATTTCAATATTGAACTGAAAATAGAAAAGCCAGCAGGTAATTTTACAGATTTACGTTTATTCGCATTATTTTGTAAATTTACTTATTGGTAAATTTACTGTCTCTTATTTTATTTTATCATAGCAACGAACCATTCCTAATAATTATCTTCTCATAGTATTCATTCTATTTTATTAACCATAATATGGACAATCACATTTTGTGAAATTTGGTATATTGCATGTTATATATATCTAATTTCCTTTATTTATACGATCTACAACGTGTATTAGTATTCATCGTACGTTAATCAGATTGTAAGTATGTTCATAAACGTATAAAAATATGTTTTGACTCTTTGGCAATAAGTTGAATTATCTCGTAATCAAGCTCACTTGAAGACGGTTAATTACACCGATAGGCCAGTGTTAGCTGGAGTGTCTCTAGAGCAGAGTTTCAATGCAATAGACAATACCGCCAGCTTACATCTGAGAGCCTGGAACCGCCGCGATCATTCAGCGGCGGTTTCGACTTATGTTACCTAATGGCTCACAGGAGTAGTCTTACGTTTACAGTACGCAAGAACAAGCCGAGTGTTAAATGCCTCTTACTCAATTGAGGTTTTATTTCTCTTACGGTGAAATTGTTGTTTAACTAAAAAAGGGTGGGGGGGGTTTGTAAAACGGAAGTTAAAATCATTGTGGTTTTTTTTAACATTTGTCTGTAATTTTTCATTTACTGCTTTTAAATTTACATTTACTGTGTTGCTGTGAATTTACAGTCCAAAGTTAAAAAACAAACTCATGTTATTTTCCATTTACTGTTTTTAGGTAAATTTACTCACAAAGTCAAATTACAGAAACCCTGTAATATTACAGCTGAATGTTTATTACAGGAATTTACAGGAAACTTTTGCTGCTAATAATTTTCATGTAAATTTACCAGATTTTTTCTAACAGTGTAAGACTAAGACACTTTGCTGTAGTCGTGTCTTATCCAAACACGAAACATGTCTGTATTATTAAGCCACTAATCTATCACTATAATTCCGATCCAAGAATATCATCTTTGCTGTGCATTGGGTGGTATGTAATACAATTTACATATAGTTCAAAATATAGCAAGAGATATGTACGACTGTGTGTTGTCTACATTGTTTTACAGATGATATACGAGCCGAGCTGTATGCACGATCACTCCTTTTCAAGTTTGTAACTTTAATGCAAAGTTATAATGTTGTTCAACATTTTCGATTTTTCTCATTCTAGAATTATTGAACTCTAGTGTTTTCTCATTCTAGAATTACTGATTTTTTTCTCATTCTAGAATTACTGATTTTGTTTTAATAATGCTATAATTATTGAACTGTTTGTTTTAATAATGCTATAATTATTGAACTGTTTGTTTTCTCATTCTATAATTATTGAATTGTAGTTTTCCTCATTCTATAATTACTGATTCCTTTCTCATCCTAGAATTGCTGAACTGTAGTTTTTTCTCATTCTAGAATTATTGATTGTTTGAACTGTGTGTTTTTTCAATTGAACGGCATGCCCTTTTCTTTATTTATGACTATTTCATCGATTGCTCTGTTTATTATTCTTTCAGTATGTCCGAATACCTACACATTGGAATCGGGTTTCTGTTTTCGGGTTTATTGGATCGAAAAAAACTTTTACGATGCTAGAAACTTTTGTCAGGCGGATGGTGGAGACCTGGTTAGTTTTGATAGTCAAGAAAAGACTGATATCATCATACAATATCTCATCCCAAGTGAGTGTTGCTTACTCCTATTTTGAACAATAAAAAAGTAAGAAAAGTAAACGATTAACAAACAACAATTTATATACATTACAAGTATTGTATTTTGTTTTGAAAGAACGAATTCGGCTAAACCGCGTATCCATGGATAACCAAATGGTGTGCGTATTGTCTCAGTATTCGTGGTAGTGGTTATTTTCGCATTTTTACTGCAAAATCAAAATGATGTCTGTTCATTTTGTAGGCCAAGTTTAAACTATTTTAAGTGCTTGGTAGCATTACCCTTTGATCAGATATCGTGAAAGGACAGAGAAAATCGATTTGAAAAAGGGTGACAAATAACGAAAACGGGTGCCGAATTTTCTCGCTCCCTCGACCCTTTCGCAAATGACCCTCTCCCCCTTCAAATAAATTCTTACTAGGTCTAATGGGCTTTCTTAAAATTACGAAGAGGACATCACCATCACAAATTTAAATTTTATTATGAACAGTTCATAGTTCGTGTTTTAATTATGGATAGTTTATAGTTTGTGTTTTAATTATGGATAGTTTACAATTTATGTTTTATTATTGGCAGGTTACAGTTTGTATTTTAATTATGGATAGTTTCTAGTTTGTGTTTTAATTATGGATAGTTTATAATTTATGTTTTAATTATCGATAGTTTCCAGTTTATGTTTTAATTATGGATAGTTTTTAATTTGTGTTTTATTATTGGCAGGTTACAGCTTGTATTTTAATTATGGATAATTTATAGTTTCATGGATAGTTTACAATTTATGTTTTGATTAAGGATAGTTTACAGTTATGGTGGTTTATCTATTGAATGATCATAGGATATGTGCATGTATAGGTTGCGATCTGAATTTTGAAATTATCAATTGAATCATAAGTATTCATTAATTAATGATAGATTATCTTTTCATTATTAATGGTTGATTTTTTTTATTGTTAATGATCGATATTTTTATTATTAATGATCTATTTTTTTTTTATTATAATTGGTCGATTTTTTTCAATTTTTTTCAGCTGAAAGATATGTGTTTGGTATGTTTAACATACAAAGTGATAAAAGTTTTGATCTGGTAGATGGAAGAACAAGTGCCGATTTCACGTTTAGGTACTGGAAACCGAATCGTCCGGATGGTCCATTTAATATACCATTATGTGGAAGTTTCAATCACAATTCAAATGGCTACTACTGGACAGATAGTGACTGTAATTTTGAACGCAATATCATTTGTGAAGTAAAATAGAATATTTCATAGAATCATATTGCCGTTCAATGCTCAGTTGAGGTAAAAAAAAAATAAAATAAAAATATTGTTGTTTTTACTGTCACGATTTCGTGCAATGATTTCTTTTACCAGTATAAATGAACTGCATTGCTAAAAATGCACGATAATACATGCATATAAACATAAACATTAAAAGTTTGTTAACATATTAAGTTATAAAATTAATTATCAAAAATAAATTCAATAAACCCCATTTTTTTCATTCATTCATTCATTTATCTTTGTTAACTTTTGACGAAAAATTCTTACCTCATCTAGAACTAATGGGATCATAATAAATGTTAAAGATTTGCCAAATACAGTTGGCAAGAGGCCCATTACATCCGATTTTTGAACAATGTAGTCGAGTTCGATAATCAACTGCTGTTCACGTTTGAGCGTAAAATAAATATCCATCATCCGCAACATGCAGTCTACGATTGCTTCGGACATTTTTTCCCCAAGCTAAAGTCATTAGCATATAGCTATGGTCATGAAGGCCATATATGGAAAGTGACGTATGATCACGTGAGATGGAATGCGCATACTGTTTCTGACATAGCGGACATTTTAACTTCAGTAGTCAAGAAATTTCGCGTAGCAGTTGGGTTTCATCAAATCATCTAATTATGCGGTAAGACTTCACCTTTATTAATGGGAATTGGTTTATTATATGTTAAGCTATGTGCAGTACAGTTCTGGGTCAGTTTATGTGTAAATTAAGGGAGCTATAGGCCAGTAAGGTAGGACGAGTCACTACTGTGGCTGGAGTAAGGCGGAATACATCAGTAGTGGGACCATTTCTATGTATGGCGTATGTCCGTCTTCATTAGCCCAGTCGGACCAGAACAGAAGCACGTTAAACCCCATTTCATTTCAATTTCATTTCATCTTCGAAGATTGTCCTTTTACAAAAACAGAATGCTAGTAGGATTTATCTTTGCTTCTGTTAGGTTCCTAAAACCTTCTTTGACTTAGTGCGCTTGCTATATTTCTATAATATTTGGTATGAAGTAGTCTCCATAATCAACCGCTTTCAAATAAACGGTAGTTTTTGGTATGAAATAGTCTCGATAACCTAGGCCCGTAGCCTAGAATTTGCACATAAAATGACCGGTTGGGGCGCTGAATTGTCATTCCCCATTGCCCTATATTATATGGATACTTTAAAATAAATATGACTTATTAAATACAATCTGCCATGATAAATACTCTTCAAAAAAGTAGGGGATATTGAAATGCAAATACCCATGCCAGTTGTGATATGATAAATAGTCATGGACACTTGACATGCTTTGAGAGCATGTTCACAGATGAAGAACTTATCGCCCCAACATGACCACTGAGCTGTCCGTGCGACACGTAATAACGCCATACACGTGTGTGTGTGTGTGTGGGGGGGGGGGGGGCATTGTAAATTTTGACACTTCAAGGAGGGGTTGATGCAAACTGCCGTGTGCTGGTTTATCCTATCCATGTTTGCTTTTCTATCGGTTTTTGCATAAGATTTACTGTTTAGCATATCTTTGCTTTGGTGTGTTACGTTCAATTTGCAATGAGACGTCTTCAACATGATGAACGTCTACGTGCTATTGGCATGCTTCAAATGGGTTCTACACAGCGAGCAGTAGCCAACATGCTTAATGTGTCACAGTCTGTGATCAGCAGACTGTGGAACCGGTACCAACAAACACACAATGTTGATGATAGACCTCGTTCAGGTCGTCCTACACAAGCCCAGGATCGATATATTCGTACACAGGTCCTGCGAAATCAAGGACAAACGGCCAATCAGTTTTCTGTGAACTTGTACCAAGTTACAGGAGTTCGAGTTACACCCCAAACGATTAGAAATCAGCTAAACGAAGCCCGTTTGCATGCGCGGCGACCGCGTGTTGTGCCCCCATTAACTCGCCAACACATGGCAAACAGGCGTCAATGGTGTAGGCAGCGTAGAAATTGGGGTAATCGTCGATGGGCGCGTTTAATGTTCTCAGATGAGTCCAGATTTACTCTTTATTTCACCGATATGCGCGCTCGCGTTTGGAGGCGTGTAAATGAGCGTTATGCTAACGTTAACATTAGACAGCATGGCAGATTCGGGCGTGGGTCTGTTATGGTGTGGGGAGGAATCACTATGACTGGCAGAATGGACTTGCATATTGTTCAAGGAAGGGTCACTGGTGTATACTACCGTGTATCACATCCTGGCACCGATAGTTCTGCCCTTTGCTCAACGTGCAGGTCGACGTTACATCTTTCAAGATGATAATGTCCGTGCCCACCGCGCTCGTGTCGTGAATGACTACCTCCAGCGTCACCATATTGTCCATATGCCTTGGCCAGCCATGAGGCCTGACCTTTCCCCTATAGAGCATGTCTGGGACATGATCGGCAGACGTGTTCGTCGACGTCAATGTCAATCGACAACACTACAAGAATGGGTCCTGGCATTGCAAGAGGAGTGGGTCAGATTGTCCCAAATCGTGATTAGACGGTTGATTAGGAGGATGCCACGACGAATTGCTGAATGTCTGAGGATTGGTGGAGCAATTACTCATCATTTAGACAAAAATCAAAAACTTCCATTTTCACTTTTGACAGTGTATCTCTTTGCGAGTGTAATGGGTCCGTCATTATCAAGACAAAAATCAAAAACGTCCATTTTCACTTTTGACAGTGTATCTTTTTGCGAGTAAAATTGGGCCGTCCGATAAGCCGCCCATATGAACTGTTTATGTTCATGTGTAGGCAATTGGCCTGTTATTAACATACACTGATTACCTCTAATAAAAACAGCAGTGCATTTCCGCAGATTTGTATTGTTTCTGAATATCCCCTACTTTTTTGAAGAGTATATATGAATAGGGTGGCATTAATTATCCACGGAAAAACTCGAACCCAAAAATAATCTGACAATAAAAGAATGTCCCCGGCGTTTTTCTCATTAACTGAAGATCTTTGATATAAATTTCTTCGCTTGAACACAATGTTGTTTTCTTACTTTGTTCTCACTCGATCATTTCCTTAAGGCTCTGAATCTTATTTCTTCAGGATCTAACATCGTCATAATATGAATCAATAAATCATTAATATTGACCGTGAAACATTAGATATACATCAATATCCACAATCAACTAGGTGCCCAATCGTTGGATATTAGTCTTAGTGGCGTCAGGGAGCGAGCTAGACGTATCCTGTAAAAATGACGAACGTCTTGCTGTATTTACAAATTGTATTTGTTATTTTGTTTGTTGACTGTAACGACATAAACTGGTATAGATTAACAAGCATGGATAATAAAATGACTTATCCGAATACAGCATTTGAAACAATCAATTCTTATAAAATTAAATGCGCAAAAACATGTTTCGAAAATTTGAACTGTATGTCGTTTTTCTATGATATCAACACGAAGATGTGCTATCTACATAGAAACGTTTATAACGTTACGTCTCCGACTCAGATCTCAAACACTACTTATTACGTTTCTCCGTCTAGAGGTAAGTTAATTTAATTCTAACTTTTAAAATGTCAGTGATAGCATTAACAGCCGCTACCGTTTAAAACTTGCCTGGCGACTCCGGTGGTGATTATAGCCCTAGAGCGCTCTATCTATGTTGTTGTCTTAGATTGGCAAGCGGAATATTTCCCATCACGTATGAGAAATGCACACACATTGATGACGTCACACGCAAAATCGATACGAATATGCGATACGGACCAGGAATTTACGCATGCCAAAACCTATCAGATTTCAATAGTATTAAGGTCGGCTCTGGTGGTGGTTGCCCTACAGACCTATGCAATATTTGTTAATTCTTGATTCCTCTATCTAATTTAATTTACTAGAATGTGGCCCTTGATTTTACGTAAATTATGTAAAAGCTATGTTCAGTTCTGAGTATTTGTTGCGTTTCAAAACCTTGTGAACGCCACTTTTTAACAGATTGATTTTTCAAATTTGGTGTGAAGCATTGTGGTTAAATGAGGACTAACCCAGCGATATTCGGCGTTCCGCGACATTCCTTTCTGGGGTTACCTCTCTTACTTATTTTCACAAAATCGGACAAAATAATATTTTTGCATATTTTTAGACCAGAACTCTAAAATCAGAATGATAAAAATGAACAAGTTGTTAAGAAAATCTGCTAGAAATGGATTTATTTGAAAAAATCAAATGATCTTATTTAAAAAACAACGGCAATTTTCCATCTTATTGCACTAGCAGCCTCAATTTGTTGTGAGCCATTGGGGTCAAGTGAGGACGAACTCTATATATCGATATTCTGCGTTCCATACCCTTCCGTTCGGGCCCAAGCAACATACCGCCACAGGCCCAACAGACCAACGATTTCAAAAATACTAAAGCATTATGTCATACCTACTCACATTGTAAGCTTACTGCAGAATTCCAAATGATGTATTAACTGGCAACGCGATGCACGACATGGATCTATAATGGTATTGCATCGTGGATTGGTTAATGAAAACACCGATAGAAGTTGCCCTAGAAATCTAATGGACGGTTAAACTTGAATATTTCACTCTTAACTCAAACTCAACAAAGCCTGTTCGGGTTGAAGAGCCTGCAAGATGCTACCAAGGTTACTGGAAAGCACGGGGAAAACGGAGTTAGCATCCCAATTATACATTGTGGGGAAAGAAAAACATTATAAAGAGCGCAGGTTCTATTGGATTTGGAATTGCTTGCGCAGCCCACTTTCAAGTACTGCACTTTATGCAATAGCGTAGAACCCAAAGGCAACGTCCAATGAGGATATGTTGAAGAAAAGTGGACCCCTGATTAACAATTAACTTGTTAGCGAAACCCCAGTGATCTTATTTATTTTATGAATCACTCATCATATCGAGAATAATTATGCACTTTTCTATATTGTTTGTAGAATGCCCCCAGACCTATACCTGGGAATCTGGAGTCTGTTTTCGGATTTATGACATAGAAAGAAACTTTACCGATGCTAGAGCTGTTTGTCAAGGAGATGGCGGAGACTTGATTATCTTTGACAGTCAAGAAAAGACAGATTTCGTAATATCTTATCTTAATCCAGGTAACTAATACATGAAGTCAGTTTATTTATTTATATATAAAAAAAAAATTAAATAAATAAAAAAAAACCAAATAAAATAAAAATAAAATATATTTAAAAAAATAGAATAATAAGATAAACAAAAAAAAAAAAAAAGAAGAAAAAAAGAAATAATATAAATAATCAAAGACAAAGATAACGAAAAAGATGAAATAAAGTAAATTAAAAATAAAAAAATAAACAAAAATACATGAGTATTTACGAGTCCAAGTGTTTCTTATCACTTAAATGTTTGTTTTTCTAAAGGTCAACACCAACACCCGAGAAACTTGGTTTGAAGAAAGAGAAAACATTTCCATGTTCATTGTGTAAAAATATGTGATTCACCAGAAGAAGCGTTAACAAGGAGGCAAAGCAATCGTCGGTTTTTCAAGTATACTCAAATGGTAGTTGGCTTAACCCCACCTTAACTCAAAACAATCGTCGGTTAATCGTATATTCAAATGGTAGTTGGCTTAACACCCCACCTTAACTCAAAACAATCGTCGGTTATTCAAGTATTTAAGTGGTAGTTGGTGTAAAACAATCGTCGGTTAATCGTATATTCAAATGGTAGTTGGCTTAACCCCACCTTAACTCAAAGCAATCGTCGGTTACTCGTGTATTCAAATGGTAGTTGGCTTAACACCCCACCTTAACTCAAAACAATCGTCGGTTATTCAAGTATTTAAGTGGTAGTTGGTGTAACCCCACCTCAACTGAAAATTATTTAAAGTTGCAATTTCATATTTTTAATTTATATTTTTAAAATTTATTAAAATAAAGCATTAAACTAGATGGTATTCTATAAACAGTCCTACCTTGTTAAAGAATAATCCTATTAATCCTATAATTCACTATTGCCAGTTGAGAAAATCAAACGTTTGAAGATAGCTATTCCAGGGGGGGGGGGGGGTAGAAAAACAAGGGAGGTAATTGTGTTATTATTTCCGTGGTCAAAGGATTTTTAAGTGGGAGAATAATACCTATGATCGTATAATAGTGAGTTGCAACCTATTGAGCAAAAGACATAGAAATAATTATGTTTTGACTTTCTTAAAAAATATGAAATTATCGCTTTAAGTGGTAGTTGGCGTAACCCCCCCCCCCTTAATCCAAAACAGTCGTCGGTTACTCAAGTATTTATTTATGTATTGTATTATTGAAAGTTTCTATTTTTCCATATTTTGCAGGTGACAGATATTTTTTTGGTATTTTTAACATCAAAATTGATAAAAGTTTTGATGTGGTTGATGGCCGAACCAGCGATGATTTCACTTTTAGGTTTTGGAAACCAGGTCGCCCAGACGGACCATTTGATGTGCAACTATGTGGAAGTTTAAATCACAACTCGGGTGGTTTCTATTGGTCGGACAATGATTGTAGATCTCTACGCAACTTTATTTGTGAAATAAACTAGGATACTAATAAGGCTAGGTTCCCACTGCCGTGAGATACGTTATGTTAGGATTGACCACGATTTGGTACGTCCAGATACGTTCGGATACGAACAACACGATCGCTACGACCGACCTTAATATATGATAAAACCTGATAGGATCAGCACGATTACTCACGATTACAGCGACGCTTTCAATCGTAGCACGAAACGTGACAGTGGGAACCTAGAATTAGAGTGATACTGATATATTCAAATCGTAGCCTTTAATCAAGAAGTAGGCAATATAAAACACAAATTATTGATGTCTGTAATGTTAAAGATACATTATAGGAGATTATGTAAAGACCTTGCAGTTCTCACTATAATAGTTAAACACTAGATAATACAAAGGGAATTTGCTGAAAATTTCAGTCAAATTGATCCACACTGTTCCGAGAATTTACCGATTGAAATTTCGGCCTAGCCTCGATCATCATTACTAAACTCGGTACGATAAAAAACATAATCTCGATTATCCATTTCATGAATTAATCATGAATGAAAGTTGAGCAGCAAATCGGATCCTAATCCAGTTGAGAGTTGATTATGGTCTGGATAAGTTGATTAATATCTAATTAATAATTTAGATAACATTCCAGGCCTAAAGAAAGGCATGCAATAGGCAGATTTAGCTCTTGTGTATAATGCATGTTTAATATTTTAGAATATAGTAGCAACATTACATTATTATTATTACTGTTTTATGTACATATATTTTATGTTTTTTCTGTATATATAAAGCGAGGATTATCGATATCCGTGTCACTGGACACTATCTCGACCGATCCAGTGCAACCAGTATGTCTGAAACATTTGAATACGTCACGATTCTACCCAAACAGATTGGATTCGACCCACACCACATCTGAATCTGGAGTAGCAGGACAGTGACATACAATTGCAGTTCTGTCAATGCCTCTCGAGACCCCCCCCCCCCCTCTTTGTATCCTTGGATAAGACAATCTCGCTTTTATTTTTTTTTGTTTGGGTGAAGTTCTAGGCCACACTTCCCCCGGGGGAGGCTAGGGTATCTGGGATAAGAACATGAATATGTTCTGTAGTCTAATACCGGGGCTGCGAAATGTATATAGTCTAGGGAGAGAGGGGGTTTTAACGTCCACTCGACACAAACTAGGTCATTTCAGGACTAACACTCATTAATCAAGATATATATCATTATGGTAATAATTTTGTAGAGTAGGGGCGGATCCAGACCCCACCGTACAAACACCACCCTACTCAGCTACATAGCTACATAAAAAAGAATTGTAAAACACTTTATGAGAAAATTGTAACGGTCGTGTGCTTTATTCTTTATTATCAGATGGTGGGATGGGATGGGCATTCAAAGCGTGAAATAATGATATAGACATGCGTGACAATTAATGCTTTGCATCAATGAAATTGAATCACAATCTGATCATATTAATTCATTATAAAAATTGACATCAAACGAGGTGTTGGATTTCTCTTCTTAAAAAGCTCAATGTGTATGTATGCCTACGTAATTAAGAGACGATGATGGCATTATGCATTGTCAACTGTCAAATTTGCTGAACAATAGCCTGGCACACCTCCTCCTGCAAAAATTCCTGGATCCGCCCCTGTAGAGATGTTATTTTCTATTGAGATCTATGTGTATACTATTTATAGGGTATTGACTATTTTCATGTACTTTTGTCAGTCAATAAAATTAACTTCTAATTTCAACCACTGTGTTCATTTTTATACGTCCCCTATACGAACCCAATCGATTTTCAGCGTTTTGCGACCTTCCTTTTTCCAGAGTTTCTCTCCCCTTTTCCGAAAACCTTGTACACGCGATAGTGGCTATAACTTTTAACGGATTCTTTGCAAAACAATAGGGTCATCAGCATTTCCCGACCCTTTTTTTCCAGAGTCACATCCCCTTTGTCGAAAACCTTATTAACGCCCTGCAGGCTACAGTTTTAGCAGCATTAGGACTGAGTAGATTAACGCTGTTGATTGTCAATTATGGTGTGATGCATTGGGACCTGAGAGGATGAATCCTATTGATTTTCATCATTCTGAGATATGTCCCCGGAAAAGCTTCTCCAAGCCATAAAAATGAAATGAAATGAGGTTTGACATCCAATTTTTCTTCTTTCTTCTCCGACTGGGTCAATGAAGATGGGCGTTGTTGTTGTTCTTGGTGTTTAACGTCCGCTTCCATCGAAGGTGATATCACAGACAAGTTGTCTTTCCTGTGGGAGGAAGCCGGAGTACCTGGAGTAAACCCACGAGGTTGAGAAGGCGTCCCTATCTCCAAGCCACATACACTCACACCGGGGATCGAAACCACAATGGCAAGCCAGAGGTGACCGGCCAGCTAGATGTCGAAGCGCGACACTCTAGACCACTAGGCCACCAGATTCCCCCCTAAAAGACGAGCGTACGCCATACAGAGTGTTATGAGGGAAATGTTGCCCGGCCTACTCTTTTCTGGAATTCCAAATGTCAAGGGTTATTTACATGCATGCCAATGTGTAGGCTACACGGGCCTATGGGTTTTCGTCTCATCTGAACGTATGAACGACTATACGTTATCCCTTTCCGATTTAGTAATTTAGAAAGTTCTCTTTTGATGTGAGATTTTCTTTAAAAAAAGAATGGCCCTTTCATGTAAATTAATAGTAACACACAAACGATGAATGATATTAGTTATTTCTGTATTTACACACTGTTTACATGTAAAATGCCATTATTAGGACGCATAAAAAAGTTTTAAACAAGAACAGGAATGTAAATAATTGAAAGCCTTGTAGTAAATATAAAATATTTGCTTAAAATAATTAAAGATACATTATGGAAGATTAGATAAAGAGTTGGCTGTTCTCGCTATAATAGTTAAAAACTAGATAATGTAAAGGGGCTATGCAAGACATTCCAGTCAAATGGCTTCTCTCTAAGCCAAGGAAATCTTATTTTTAAATCACTGTAGCCTCGATTGTCATTGTTACCGCTGTGACGATAATTAACATAGTCTCGATTATCGATATTTGTGTTCAATCATCAAGGAGCGTTGAACAGCAGATCGGATTTAAATCCCATGGACATCGGAAATATAAGATGGCATCGCGAGTTGACTATGGTTTGGATAAGTTAATAAATATCTAATTAATAGTTTCTGACCTAAAGAAAGGCCTGCAATAAGAAGATTTAGCTCTAACATAATGTATGTTTAAATATTGAATATAATGCTGTTGATCATCTAAAACAATGAACACGCGATATATCATAATTAGTAGATTTACACACCTGGCATTAAACTCTGCAGGATTAACTATATATCAATTATTCAATACACGTCAATACTAAAATATATTATGTTAAAATAGAACCATTATTCGATATCTCTTACTATCAGATAGAAAACCCTCAATAGTGCGTCACATTATTAATGTAACAATTATTCAATACATTATATATAATGATTATTCGATATATCTTAACTATCAAATTATCAGATATCAATACTTTATTAGTTATACGCATTATTCGATATCTCTTTGCTATTAAAATATCAGATATGCGTCGATACCGCGTCACATTATTAATAGAACAATTATTCAATACATTATTGAATATAACGATTATTCGATATTCATTACATTAGATATCCCTCACATCACTAATATAACAATTATTCGATACAAGGCTGTACCGCGCCACATTATAAAAATATAACAATTATTCAATACGCGTCCATACTGCATCACATTATTACAATATAACAACTATTCGATACCTGGCTGTACCGCGTCACATCATAAAAATATAACAATTATTCAATACTGCATCACATTATTAAAATAGAACAATTATTAAATACGCGTCAATACCGCGTCACATTATAAAAATAAAACAATTATTCAATAAATGGCTGTACCGGGTCATATTATACAAATATAACAATTATTCGATAACTGGCTGTACCGGGTCACATTATACAAATATAACAATTATTATAAAAATATAACAATTATTATAAAAATATAACAATTATTATAAAAATATAACAATTATTATACAAATATAACAATTATTATAAAAATATAACAATTATTATAAAAATATAACAATTATTCAGTACTAATCTAGTTATTAAAATATAACAATTATTTGATTCCTGGTGGCCCGTCTTCATTAGCCCAGGTTAGGAGCAGAACAGTAGGACGTTAAACTACATTTCATTTCATTTCATTTGATTCCTGGTGGTAATGTATCACAATATTAAATATATAACAAACAAATGACCCGGTATCGCAATTATATCGTTGTTGGTGATACTGTATCACATTTTTCAATATATAACAAATATGATCCCTGGGGATAAGATATCACATTATTAAATTATACCATTTTTATGATCACAAATATATGATTCCATGTGATACTGTATCACATTATTAAATCATACCATTATATTATGTTCCCTGTGACACTGCATCACAATTATATCTCCATGGTCATACTGTATTACATTGTTAAGTCATACCATTTATATGATACCTGGTGATAAGGCATCACATTATTAAATATATAACAATTATATGACCAATGTGATACTGCGTCACAAATAAATGATTAATGGTGAAACTGCATCATATTGTTGAAATATAACACTTACATGATCCCATGTGATACTGCATCACAATGTTAAAATATAACAAGTATCCAATATATAACGATACCTCGTCTTACTATTCAAATAAAACAATTATCCGTGATCCCTCATAACATTTTTACAACAAAATGTTTAATAATATGTCGAACGAAAGAGCTGCAGGGTTGTGCGCAAGAAAACAAAAATATAACTCATAGTCTTTGGATTTCTGTGGAGCAATTATTCAAGAAAGCACGTATTGGCATGTTTCGCAATATACAATATAGGAACATCATACAATAATGAGAATAATTCACATCCAACAGCAAACTGAAGATGCGAAAGATTCTTTCACCACAGTGAAACATGGCATCTTTTATATCGTTGCAAAGTTTTCAATTAATCGTATCTGTGTAAATACTGAACGGAACGGAACAATCCCATTCAGATTATCATTTTTCACAATACTGTAGCTTGCAAATGGATTCACAAAAACCTATCGGTTCCGGTTGCTGCTCTATTGAGTGCTATGATGTGTTTTCTGATATTTGTCCATTAGTAAGTATCACCGAGATAGGTTGGATATGCTGCACAGAGCTGATTTGCGACTCCTCGGGTGATATAGTGTCATCCAAATTCAATAGCACTGAATTAGATTTTGTAGCATTAGCTTGCAGTGAATCAGTTTGTGGATGCTTGGGTGGCGATGAGTCAGTTTGTTGATGATTGGATTGCAATGATTCCGTTTGTGGATGATTGGAAGGCGATGAGTCAGTTTGTGGATGATTGGATTACAATGAGTCAGTTTGTGTATGGTTGGGTTACGATGAGTCAGTTTGTGGATTACTGGATTGGAATGAATCAGTTTGTGTATGATTGGGTTGTAATGAGCAAGTTTGTGGATTATTGGGTTGCAATGAGCCAGTGTCTGGATGACTGGAATGCAAGGAGTCGGTTTCTGGATGATTGGATTGCGATGAGTCAGTTTGTGTATCACTGAGTTGCAATGAGTCAGTCTGTGGATGACTGGGTTGCGTTACGTCAGTCTGCGAATCACCGGGTTGTAATGAGTTAGTTTGTGTATCACCCTGAGCTGAGTCAGCTTCTGGACCATTCGTGGGCGTCGCGGCGTCTCGCTGAAATTCATTTGAAAATGTAATATCCGTGTCTAATTCGTTATCAGACCGGTTAACACTGTAAAATACTTTAATATCCGATGTTATATTATACATTTCTTTGTTTTTCATCACCTCCTCGTAACTAGGCAGATTTATCATAAAGACACTATTCGAAATTCCTTCTTCTGTTTCACGGGATGGGTAAGGCCACCGAAGAACTAAAATATAAACAAAATTCGTGTACAGTAGCTATAGCTAAATCTCGTGTGGTTTTGTCTTGTCAGAGTTGTAGGATGCGGGCCGAGGAAGGGTGTCTAGTCGTTTGGATGGGACCAAAACCCGGGGTTACGTTAACAACGAGTAAGCGGAGATGCCGCTGTCCGGGAAAAATATCCCTCATAGAACAGAGTAGCCCGGTTGGTGCAGAAAAGTAGGACGTAAATTTCCTTTAATGTAATGACAGATAATACAACCGAAAAGAAAAGAAAACTACGTGTAAGAGATATGCCAGGGCCATCTAGCGGTCATCGTTTTAATAATCGCTGACTTATACCCTCTACGCCATGTGGAGCTGAAAAGGTGGGTGTTAATAGAGGATCGGATGGGAAGCAACCCGATGGTCCCGGTGGCGTTAATTGATCCCTTGGTAGTTTAAATTCCTAGAAAAGTAGACAGACCCCCACCCCCCTCTTGCATTACACACATTATCATTGGCTAATTCCTCACATCAAGCAGAACACTTGTTATATAACAACTCTTCCAGATCCTAGTGTTGTGAAGACAAGTAAAACAAAATTGTGAACTACAAGAAACGAAACGAAATAGGATCTGTGTTTTAATCAGATTGATTCTGTACAGTCTAGTCACTTATAGTTTGTATATTATTGTAAGTTTATCATTCTACTTACCATCAACATAACTATTACCGTCATCATCTACTAATTCCTTTCCACGACACTTATTGATAGATCTCTTGATTCTTCTAACGAACTTGGATTTCTTACATATTAAATACATGTAGATACTGAATGGTATCACAGACAGAAACACCGCCACTGTTATATAGGCTCCCATTAAAAATTGAGTACCAAGATCCCTGCAAAATAAAATATTAGCTCCAATATAAACAAGTACCAGCGGGACTAGGGATCAGGAACTATGTATGACGTTATCGCAGCCATCTTGGAATTATGACGTCATATCAAAAATCGAAGTTCAGCAATCAATTCAAGGAACACGCATGCCAAGTTTCATGTCGATCGTACATGAATCGTTGGAATCTTATAACATTTTTGTTTGTCGAATAATATTCCCAGGAATAATAAGAATATGAGTTATAACGGTTGGGGTCCAGTTCTTGGTGCAAAAATACACACGACTCGTTAAAGGAACAGACCCAAACTCCATAGGGTATCGTTTGACAGTTCAAGTAAAATGTAAATCAAACGCCAAAATGTGAACGGGGCTGCTTAACTCATTCAGAAATTTAGGTGCCCATTTGTATGAGTGACTTGATAATCGCGACAATCAATAGCCACTTGTCCGGACTCTTATTTTGACTGGAATTCGGAGACTTCCCGTGGCATAACTTCTTGCTGCACTCATGTATTTCTGATGATGTTTAGTTATTAAAATCTGAAATTGATCTTAAACAAATCTCAATGGGAAACCAGTTACTGGAGTTTGCAAAAAGTGTTGGCCGTTATTGTAATCTAGCACATGAAGGCCTTTGTATACTCGCTTGAGGTCGCGTGTACGATCCCTGCATTGACCGAGGAAGTTCATCGGGATTTTCCGACGTGGTTTCCGCTTGTCAGTGTGCAGGACAGAGGTCACGTGTATACACGTAAAAGATCCCTTGGCAGTTGGAATTCGATATAAGAGTAGACCATAGCACCGCCTCCCGGGCAAAATGTCCCTCATCGCACACTGTATGGCGTATGTCCGTCTTCATTATCCCAGTCGGAGCAGAACAGTAGGACCCCATTTCATTTCATCTACTGGCTTGAAAACAGAGGATCTGGTGGTTGTAAAGAAGGACTATAAGGAGCGCTGATAATACTTACCTGACTAAACTATCGGAAAAGATATACACTATTTCTTAAGGTGAATGAAACATTTCAAATGGATAAATTTATATTAATTGCTGCGAGTTATAAGATAGGGCCTACCTTAGAAACGTAACACGAAACATAACAATACATTTAGCGTGGATATCACCCAAAGCATAATCGGTAATAGATTAGTACATTAGTTAAAAGCTTTGGATTGTATAAGCGAGATATGACATTATTATGGAAGTTCGTTGTTATACTTGTGAGGTAATTTACGATTAAGCAGATTATACCGTTTAAAGTCAATTAATGCGTTCCGTATACTTAATCCATATTGAAATGAAACCGGGTTAATGAAGACGGGCATGCGCGATTCAGTGTACTCTGAGGGGCGTCATGAAGGACATATTGTCCGGACAGCGGCGCTACGGTGTACTCTTATTTCAAATTCAAGCTGTCAATGGTTCTTCTATAACACATGCTACAATTATATGGAATACAAGTTACTTGAAGGGTTTATTTCAGCGACGTTTCGACGAGGGTTCTCTGTATTAAGCAAAGAATGACACAATGAAGATATACATACAAAATATGAAACAGAGACAACTTGTATTCCATATAATTGTGTTATATGTTATTCTCATCCAGTTACTAATTATAAATGAAATGAAATGAATTGAAATTGGGATTAACGTCCTACTGTTTTGCTCCGAACTGGGCTAATGAAGACGGGCATACGCCATACAGTGTGCTATGAGGGAAATTTTGCCCGGACAGCGGACTACGGCCTACTCTTATATCGAATTCAAACTCTCAAGGGATATTTTACGTGCACGCCAATATGTACACGGGACCTCTGTTTTTCGTCCCATCCGAACGACTACATCCAGTTACTAAATGCTGCTTAAACAATTTAATGGATCTTTTACTTAAACGCCAACGCATCTCGGATTTTCGCCCACGCGAACTACTGGACGATGTTCCACGGCAGTCTCTTCCACCCCATCCTGTACCATTGAAAAGATTCCGGAAAATCCTAGGAACGAATCCTGGACTTCCTTCTAAGCGAACTACGGTCCTACTCACTGAGCCACCGTGGCTCCCTGGTCCATATTAATAGATAAGACATTCGGGTAGAGGGGTGTGTAACAATATTATGACCGACCTAATATTGATATCAAATTCATAAACAAGTTTTATCAGAAAGACATCATGTAATTCAACGGAAATAGATAATATTTTAAAATGACTCACATCATGGTTAGTGCTAAATGATAAGGCCACGAGATGTAAACAGGACTGGCGCTAATCCGAACCCTAATCCTAACCCTGGACATATCGCCAATGCTTACCATACCATAACTAACCTACAATCTCGCCAGCATCACGTGCCCTAACCTTATTTACATCTCGGCGACCTTGACAAAAAATGAGCTAGCCTTAACAAATAGATTTAGCCCCACATCATATCTGTTTATGTTTTAAAACTGATATCGTAATTGCGTTTTGGATTAACTTTGGTGGACATTTACCAGATACATTACGTCAGGCTTTCATGTCCATATTTGGCTAATTCTTACGTCTTTGCGCGTAATTAACCAATCAAATAATTAATAAATTTCTCACCCCAGAAATCAGGGTTATAAATTATTGTAATGTAAACTGATCGAACAGAAACCCATAAAACATCCTTAAAGATGCATTATGTAAGATGTAGATAAAGAGCTGATAGTTCTCGCTCTAATAGTTAACAAGCCGTTGCCATGCAAGATAAGCTCACATTTTGCAAGAGATGGATACAGAACAAGCTAAAAAGTCGATTTATCTACATGCGTCAATATCGAAAGGAGCCGAGATGTTTGGAACATAAACATATTTAAGTTTCTTTAAAATCGGATAAAACTTGTGCCCACTTGGGTTCGTACAACCAGGTACCATAATTCAGGAAGTTACGATCAGATATGTGCTAATATCGAAAGGAACCGGGATCTTTAGTATATAAACATATATATTTATAGTTTCATCAAAATCGGATAGAAATTATGAATAAATGTCTAATTAATGATTTGCATAAGATTTGAATCCAAGCGAAAGATCTGCATAATGCATCTTTAACTCTTACATACCGCATCTTTAAGTAACGATTTATGTATAAATATTTACTCACATTTCGTTTAATCCGTTTCCGGTTGATCAATAAGCGAACCACTATTTGTTTTATTACTGTTCGTAAATACAGAAGAAGACGAATTTACTTGGTACTGTCCTGAAACATAATTAAACTGGAATTTAAACACTCTCTGAAAATGAAATAAAAGCTAAACCTCAATGATGGGAGTTTATAGTAACCTTTTGACCTATAAATGTTGTGACTTCCTGTGCCAAAGAAATAATCCGATAATTAGAGCAATGTTCTAAAAAAAAACGAACAGTTAAAATAGCTTGCCAAGAAAGGAAGAATACGCCCACAAACGGCTCTGTTTTCCAGTGTGCTAATGTCTATGGCATGTACTGTAAATTGATTATCACTATCTAACTGTTAAAACTTGTCAGGTACCGGATGCAGAGGATGAGTATGTAATATCCCTCCGACATAACCCCGGAAACACTTTGAAAGAATGGGAAGTATCTCTGATGAACATCATGCAACTAAGAACTTAAGTACGGTAATGTAAGTTTATCAGCAATTGGGAGCCACGGTGGCTAGTTGGTTAAGACGCTGGCTCGCTAGCCTGGAGGTCGGGTGTTCGATCCCTGCATTGGCCGAGAAAGTTCATCCAGATTTTCCGGCGTGGTCCCCCCTTGTCAGTGATGCAGGACGGAGGGCCTGACAAGGACAGCTGTCTAATCCTTCGGATGAGACGAAAAACCGAGGACCCGTGTATACATTGGAATGCACGTAAAAGATCCCTTGGCAGTTGGAATTCGTTATAAGAGTAGGCGATAGTGCCGCTGTCCGGGCAAAATTTCCCTCATAGCAGACTGTATGGCGTATGCCCGTCTTCATTAGCCCAGTATAGGAGCAAAACAGTAGGACGTCAAACCCCATTTCATTTCATTTCTTATATCGAATTCCAACTGTCAAGGGATCTTTTACGTGCATTCCAATGTAAACACAGGACCTCGGTTTTTCGTCTCATCCGAAGGACTACTGTAACATAAGCTTTAAATTACATTCTGATTAAAACACAGGTCCTATTTGTTTCGTTTTTTTTAGTTCAAAATTTTGTTTTACTTATTTTTACTACACAAGGATCTGGAAGAATTGTTATATAAGCTGGGTTCTGGTTAATGTGAGGGATTAGCCAATGGAACTGTCTGTTGCAGTGAGTTCTTGGCGTGCGATGGGTATCCTACTATAGAAACATCAACGGTGATTCGTTAATCAAATGTCTGTTGTCATAGGGTCAAAAGCCACTCGTATGACCCCTAACGCAACCTCCCACTACAACTGGTCATATCTTCATGTAGCAGAGACCATTGAAAGTATATAAAACGAAACGAAATATAGATCTGTATTTTAATCAGACTGCACGATAGCTAGAAATTTACAATCCGAATATTGAGATTACCGAATGAACAGCCTTTTTCTATTAGAAAACAAACAATCTCTGCACACAGACGATGGACGCACGTTCCGAAAACAAGGAAACTCTTTCATTAAGATGTATACCAAAAATAAAGTCACATTTATTCCCATGGAAAAATATATAATTTCTAATTAGCAAGTGGCAAAACTAATATAATAGGTTGAAGTGTGTACAAGGTTGCATAAAGATATCTTGACTGGTTTGTGAGATACGACCCGGAAAGACGGACAGGCGGAGATCATTTCATCCCCCCCCCCACTCACCCCGCAAAAACTAAACCTCATATGATCCACAGTAAATATTAAATACGTTTTGTATTTAGTAACGTGTAGATTACGGTCAGTGCTAAATGATAAGGCCGGCTCAATGTTTCGTCATAGGTCACGGGATTTAAACAGGACTAGCGCTAATCCAAACCCTAACCCTGGACCTAGCCCCTATGCTTACCCTAACCCTAACACTAACCTACAATCTCGCCAACAATCACATGCCCTAAACTGGTTTACATCTCGGCGACCCTAACAAAAATTTGAGCTGACCTTTACAAATAAATTTAGCCGTAGATTACCTGTTATAACGCCACTATTCTACGTGCAATTCGTAATACACACGTCATCGTGACGTGACGTGGCTGCAGACACGTTTATGTACATGTATATTGTGTACCTTGATAGCAAGTTGAACATCTGCTAGTAAGATATCTGTAACAACACCACCCCTATATATATACTGCCTTTCAAGTGGGTATTGGGTAATATCAAGTTTAAAGAAGGTTTTCTTTATTTTAGATATAAAAGTTTAACCTGTAGTAAGTAAATGAAATGAAATGAAATGAAATGAAATGGGGTTTAACGTCTTACTGTTCTTCTCCTATACTGGGCTAATGAAGACAGGCATATGCCATACAGTGTGCTATGAGGGAAATTTTTGCCCGGGCAGCGGCAATATCGCCTACTCTTATATCGAATTCCAACTGCCAAGGGATCTTTTAGTGCATTCCAATGTATACACAGGACCTCGGTTTTTCTTCTCATCCGAAGGACTAGACAGCTGTCCTTGTCAGGCCCTCCGTCCTGCAACACTGACAAGGGGGACCACGCCGGAAAATCTGGATGAACTTTCTCGGCCAATGAAGGGATCGAACATCCGACCTCCAGGCTAGCGAGCCAGCGTCTTACCCACTTAGCCACGTGATCCCCCTGTAGTAAGTTGCATGAAAATAAATCTAAAAATGTAATTCTTAAGTCGCTTATCGAAATATATAACAAATAACTTTCTAAACAGTTTTTCGGATATTTCTAAATTTAAACCAATAAATGTTTGCGTTGCAAATTTAAACGCATATGCGCGCAATTTGGGACAGGTACTCTAAATTTTAAATAAGGAAGTCTATTTCTATGTCCTTGGTACCTCCCCGTTTTAGAAAGACAAGTAATACAGATGAAAAATGTTGATAACTAATGTAAACTTCAAATGGACACAAGTTTAGTTAGCTGTAATAGTATAAGAGTGTGGTCTTTAAGAAATCAATGTAACATGGCCCAGCCTCATGTTAGATCAAATCAACTAATGTAAACTTCAAATGGATATATGCTTAGTTAGATGTTATGGTATAAGAGTCCTTGTGATTAAGTGTGGTCTTATAATTTACAGTTGACTTTATCTCTCTAAGAAATCAATGTAACTAATGTAAGCTTCAAATGGCACAGCCTTAAGTTACATGCGATATTATAAAAGTCCTTTTAATTAAGTGTGGTCATAGAATTTATGTTTAACTTTATTCTACTATATCTAGTCCCTTTAAGATAGGTGTATAGCCCATGTATATCAAGTGTAAACCGGTATACATATTTCTCCGTCTACATCATTCTATATAATAACATAGATTCGAACATGTCCACCACAACATGAGTACGTGTTTTATCAGTGAACAATTAATAGTAATTTATGTCTTTATGAGAGGGAGAGAGAGATAGAGAGAGAGATCCGTCTTTGCTTCTTTAAAGATAGAATGGGTGGGGGGACGAAGACCCTACTATTTGTCTATAGACTGGAGTTATAGACTACCACAATTAAAACACGTACAATTGAAACTCAGACTACCACAATTAAAATACAAACTACCACAATTAAAACTCAGACTACTACAATTAAAACACAAACTACCACAATTAAAACTCAGACTACCACAGTTAAAACTCAGCATGGGCGCAGATCCCGGTGGGGACACCGGGACGCGTCCCCACCAATATTTTTAGTGGTGGGGACATGACATACTGTGTCCACACCACTTATTTCCGATGTTTTTCTTACTGTTTATTTTTTGATATTGAAATCATTCCAGAGCTTTTATTATACAACTGGTACTATGTGAATCATTAAAATAGCTATGGGAACAATATAAACAGCTAGATTTAACATTTAAAAAAAGCGAAAAGTTATTATTTCAATGTGGTTGCCATTTTTGAATTTTAACGTGGGAAAATTCCCCTTTTGCCATCGGATTTTTAAATCATCAATGAATAATACAGTAAAATGTTACATTTATTTCAATTGGGATTGAATATTGATATGTTTAGCTGTGTGTGTGGCTTGTTTTTAGTTTATATACATTAAAAGATTTGTATAGGCCTGTACATTTGTGTATCCAATTGAATACACATTTTGCTCAAAGACTATACGTAGTCTTCGAACACTACTGCGGGAATGGAGGCGGAGCTGGAATCTCAGTAGTGTAAATATTTCTAGTTCTTGTAGTGTACATGAGAGAATAAATCGTGAACGGTGGCTTGAAGATTTGTCTTTAGATTAGATTTCTTATCATTTGCTGCCTCAGGGATAAGAATTGTTTGCCAGAAAATGATGCTGAAAATACCCACAGAGTGCGTTTTAGAGCGTCAAGTTTTCAAAATATTTCGGGTGAGGACCCCCCGAACCCACCTCTTTACCAATAGTCGCCCGCGCATGGATTGTCCCCACCACTATTTTTGGGCGATCTGCGCCCCTGAAACTCAGACTACCACAATTAAAACAGAAGCTACCACAATTAAAACTCAGACTAACACAGTTAAAACTCAAACTACCACAATTAAACAAAAACTACTACAATTAAAACTCAGACTAACACAGTTAAAACTCAAACTACCACAATTAAACAAAAACTACTACAATTAAAACTCAGACTACCACAATTAAAACAAAAACTACCACAATTAAAATACAAACTACAATAATTAAAACTAGGCTGTCGCAATTCAAACTGGGCAACCGCAATCAGGTTACAAAAGCTGTGAGCAAGTTAAAACCAGTTTAGTCGGGTCAAACCCGCTATCTGATGTAACAACCAACAATAAGAAAGACAAGGGCTGAATATGGTCTACTTCTGCTAGCAAATCAAACAGTTGATCACTGGTACGTAACGAAATCTGGATTGGGAACTGGTCATGTGTCATTGACCTAAACAATATCAGTGGTTACAGTCAGTGGGTTACAGTTATTTGGTACACACAGTTAATACGTTTGATCAACCGGTCGGTCGAAAGATTGGATATAACTAACTGAACTGATAAATGAACCCTTTAATAGCCTACTTTACATTTTAAGTCATATTCAATACGGTAAGGACTCATGACAGACCCTATGATATAAAGTATACGTGTTAGATCCCCCCCCCCTC